AATAGCAAAACCAATATCCCCACAGGCCCCATATCACAAGCTAAAACATTGATTGGGATGTTAGATCCAGGCATTTTAAATTATTTTCTTCCCTTCACTTCACCTTATCTCTCTACTATTCAAAGGTTCTAAATTTTTCTTCCCCTATTGTTGGGTTTGGTTGTCAAATTCACTTGCGCAGACCAGATTGAATAATACACAGGATTGAATATGCTTTTGATTTCAAACAGTTTGAAAATAGTTTGCATGTAGGTTTCAGCTTTGACATTGACCCCAAGAGTTCATAATTGCCGTCAAAGTTTGCAACCACACTATTTTTGCAATGTAACAATTTTAACAAGTCTGGGCAGGAGGGATGACCTGCCTTTGACCGGATCAGAAAAAAAATTAATCAAGATGCATGCAAGCTTAACCCCTTGCCATTGAACCAAAAATTTATATGTTAAGCCAGTGGACAATTTGATGTCTTGGGTGTCTGCTTGCTTTATTGGTCTGTGTTGATAAATGTCATAAACTACCCACTTTTCTCTCTCACATCTCATGTGTGCACTAAGTGAGTGCCTTTCCCCTAGTTCTTTTAAAAATCTTAATGTAATTTAAGACCCAGGTGTTCCTTTAACTTATAAAACAATTTTTTTTTCCAACAAATTTTTCTTCTNTTAAATCTCCAAAATGTCTTTTCCCTGTAACCAAACAACAAATAGCAAAACCAATAACAAATAGCAAAGCCAACTATTGCAGGGCTGGCCTTGTGAGTGTCTACTCTTAGACTGTTGAATGTATTGACTTTGCAATCTCATTATGACATTCATACACAATTTGCCCTTCTTTCCCAAGTGTAAGACCTTGACTTGGAAATTGGCTTGTTGGTTGGACAATGTATATGTATTCAAGGTTACATACACAATAAGGCACCCTCCAAGAAATTGAAATGGGACTACATTTAGTTTTTTATGTCTATTCGAACGAGGACTTTTGTGTTTATTGTTCGTTTTATTATCACTTAAATTATCTCTTTAGACCAGATCAGGAGTGATTTATCTTTCATGAATATCCAATACCCGACGTAGATGATTTGTTTTTGACTGAAATAAGAAAAAATTAATCGATGTGCGTATAAACTAATCCAAAAATCTCTCACCATTAAACTAAACAAAAAAAAATTTAATCAACAATCCTATAATCTCAATCTGAACCTTTTTGTCAGATCAGATGTACATGTATTGCAGATTTGGCTGACCTAATTTTGGAATTCTTTTGGCATCATCTCCAGATTTTTGGTTTCTTGTGAAGACTGCACATTGGGTTAATTATACTTTACCCCAGGAAATTTGAAACTAGTTACATTTCATCCCCATAAAGTTCAAAAACTTTATATATTGTCATATCACTTCCCAAATTTATTGCAATGTGCACCAATTCACTGACAATGATGGTTTTTTCTTGTGTGAATGCATCACATGACTTGCTAGAGGGCAAAAGAGTAAAATTATCATCCAGCCAATCTACTCAAAACCTCTAACCCCTAAAGTGAACCCTCTTTCTACCAATCCTTACCCTCACCATAAGTTGCCCCTCCCTTACCAACCTACCATCCCTAATTCAACTCCCTTCCATTGGAGAAAGTATTTATTGTAGCTATGGATAAGAAACTAACATATAGACAATTTAATCTTATATGATTTAGTAACTACTCTATTCAGGTAAAAAATAACTTTCTTACATAAAGAAGTCAAGGTCATCTTGTCTAGTTATTAATTTATTATTGGATGATGATATTGTGAGACAATAGTGATATGATATTATTGTTGAACTGAATATTTACTCCTTCCATTTATCTTGTAAAAACCTCATCGCCATTGGGTAGCATTTTGTCTTTCACTAACCTCCCATCCTCCTACTTTTCTAGTCACACCCTCGTCCCATATCCCACGCCAATTCTCCTATCCCTCTCTCTTTTTTCTCTCTTTTTAACAAAGTGCTAGCCTAATGGAATTATACCGACCATAGGAGAAAGAAAAGAGAAAATAATGATGGATTGATAATTTTATGTTTTTCCATTGTAGCGTGTAAAGTGAAATGTTCAACAAAGAAAAAAACCCAACACCATCTATCAATGGGACCCTATTTCAAAAAATTAAACGCGTAATGTGAGATTTGTCATTTTCTAAGGGGACAAAAGTGCAACTAGTTATAAACTTAGGAGCTAAAGTGTAACTAACACACCTTACAACTACCCCTCATTTCTCTACTGTGCCCTCATTAATACTTGTTTGGACAATGTTTGATTCAAATTTTTTAGTTGACCTAAAAATAATCCATTGAAAATAAATTTCCCTCAGCTGCACAAATAAAAAGGTGAAGACATAATACCCTGAAAAACTTTTGGCCTCTTCCAAACTACCATTCCCTTTTTGAAAAAATCATTACCAAAACAGAGAGACTCTGCTTTTGAAACGAACAACTTCCTACAAATCAATCAATTCCTCCCTTCTTTTCCCTCCATTCTCACACCTTTTTTTTCTTTCTTTCTATCTCTTCCTCATGCTCTGTTAGTCAATCAATTACGGCTTCACGCTCTCTTCAACCACGCCTCCTAAAATGCACTGCAAGTTCAGTCCACGCGTATTCACTACTCTGAGCTTGGTTCCTCTTTTTTCCAACACAAAATTGATGACCCACCATTCTTAAACACTTGGATTCACCTTCTTTTCCGATAAGTTCTAGATTGAAGTTCTTTTACTTGGACTTTTCAAGCCATTTGTGCGATGTTTTGGGTCAAAATCAGATCTACTACTTCAGCTGAGCAGTAGATCTCGGAGTTCTTCTCCTTGCAGCGGAATAGGTGGCGCCATGGTGGTGGAGCCTTGGATACTAAAAATGGGAAACCAGGTAAGCTCCAATCTCAAGCATGCCCTTCATGCTGAAACTTCTAAGAAAGCAAGCAAAAAACAAGAGCAAACCAAAGAGATTATTGGGATTTTGTCCTTTGAAGTAGCTAATGTAATGTCGAAAACAGTTCATCTGCATAAATCTTTAACTGACCCAGAAATCTCCAAGCTGAAAAACGAGATCTTGAAGTCCGACGGCATTAGGGCCCTCATATCAGGAAATGAAACCCAGCTCCTGGAGCTGGCTTTAGCTGAAAAGCTTGAGGAGCTGAACTGGGTCTCCGGGGTTGTCTCAAGATTGGGCAAGAAGTGTACCATCCCAGCACTGCAAGGGTTTGAGCATGTGTATGGGGATATAGTGAGTGGAGTGATAGATGTGAGGGAATTGGGGTTTTTAGTGAAGGATATGGAGGGGATGATAAGGAAAATGGAGAGGTATGTTAACTCAACGGCGGGTCTCTATAGTGAAATCGAGGTGTTGAATGAATTGGAACAGGCGACAAAGAAGTTTCAACAGAATCAACTCGAAGAGAGTCGAAAGGCGTTCGAGCAGAAACTGGTGTGGCAAAAACAAGATGTGAGGCATTTGAAGGATGCTTCGCTGTGGAACCAGAGTTATGATAAGGTTGTGGAGTTGTTGGCGAGGACTGTGTGTACTATATATGCACGGATTTGGTTGGTGTTTGGGGACAGAATTGCGAGAAAGGACTTTATTAGTGGGGCACTTTCAGGGGCACAGTTTGATTTCAGTGGGAGTTTACATCATGTGAGGAATGAATGTGGCAAGAAGTCTGGGCAGATTGATGTACAATGTAATGTTCAGATGGGTGTTGAGTCACCAAGACAGGTTTTGAGGAACAATTATGGTTACCGTCATTCAGGGCCAATAGAAAGAGCCATGGTGGAGAAGAAGGGCATGAGCATTAGGCCTCAAGGGATGTCGCAGAGGGGTGAGGTAGGGTTGTTTAGGTCGGGGGATTTTGATGTTGCATGTGGAATGGGGCCGGGGAGGCTATTTATGGAGTGCCTTAATTTGAGCAGTTCTGCTTCAAAAGTGGATGATGATGATGATGTTGGCTATGATGACCGAAGTAGTCAAATTTCAGGGTGTTGTAGTGTTGCAAGTTGTGGGAAGAGAGAGCACCCAAATTATTCAGGTTGCTTTAATCGCTCCCAAATTGGTGTTCCTTTCAGTGGAGAGCAAGGACAGTTTAAGGGTAGCATAACAAACAGTGCAAAATTTGGCTCCAAAAGTAGATTAATGGTATATGCCCCTCCTAGCACTGTTGGAGGCTCTGCTTTAGCCTTGCATTATGCGAATGTCATAATAGTTATTGAGAAGCTGCTTCGCTACCCTCATTTGGTTGGTGAGGAAGCTAGAGATGATCTGTATCAGATGTTGCCTACGAGCTTAAGACAAACTTTGAAGGCTAATCTGAAGTGTTATGTGAAAGACCTGGCAATCTATGATGCTCCTCTGGCCCATGATTGGAAAGAGAAGCTTGATGAGATATTGAGGTGGCTTAGCCCATTGGCACATAACATGATCAGATGGCAAAGTGAGCGCAATTTTGAACAGCAACAAATCGTGAGGCGCACAAATGTTCTCCTGCTCCAGACCTTGTATTTTGCTGATAGGGCAAAAACAGAGGCCGCTATTTGTGACCTTCTGGTTGGGTTGAATTATATATGTCGTTATGAGCACCAGCAAAATGCTTTATTGGATTGTGCAAGCAGTTTCGATTTTGATGACTGCATGGAGTGGCAACTGCAGTATTCAACTTCTTATCATTCTTGATTACATCTGAGAATTGAAAACATGCTGCTGGTGGGATTTTTCTCAACTTCCAGCACTTGTATGATAAGACAGATAATAGCTCAACAACATGTAAATACTGACGCTTCAGATAAGGAAGATGTCTATTATTGTAAAATGTGCTTCATCATTGTATCTCGTTGCAAGGTATTGAAAATTTGGATTTTTGAAGTATATCATGAAATGAAAAATCTGCTCTTTTGATTGACATATTTTTTGGCAAGGTGTGTCTATATTGCCTGTGTTGCTGTGAATTAGTAGTACTTCATCAATTCTTTTATGCAATTTGTTAAATGTCTTATGATGTCAAGAAGAAAGGTAATTGATCATACAATACTTGGTGTCAACTTATTTCTTTCAGCTACTGATGGTTGTAAGAACTGCATTCCCATTNATTAGTGGGGCACTTTCAGGGGCACAGTTTGATTTCAGTGGGAGTTTACATCATGTGAGGAATGAATGTGGCAAGAAGTCTGGGCAGATTGATGTACAATGTAATGTTCAGATGGGTGTTGAGTCACCAAGACAGGTTTTGAGGAACAATTATGGTTACCGTCATTCAGGGCCAATAGAAAGAGCCATGGTGGAGAAGAAGGGCATGAGCATTAGGCCTCAAGGGATGTCGCAGAGGGGTGAGGTAGGGTTGTTTAGGTCGGGGGATTTTGATGTTGCATGTGGAATGGGGCCGGGGAGGCTATTTATGGAGTGCCTTAATTTGAGCAGTTCTGCTTCAAAAGTGGATGATGATGATGATGTTGGCTATGATGACCGAAGTAGTCAAATTTCAGGGTGTTGTAGTGTTGCAAGTTGTGGGAAGAGAGAGCACCCAAATTATTCAGGTTGCTTTAATCGCTCCCAAATTGGTGTTCCTTTCAGTGGAGAGCAAGGACAGTTTAAGGGTAGCATAACAAACAGTGCAAAATTTGGCTCCAAAAGTAGATTAATGGTATATGCCCCTCCTAGCACTGTTGGAGGCTCTGCTTTAGCCTTGCATTATGCGAATGTCATAATAGTTATTGAGAAGCTGCTTCGCTACCCTCATTTGGTTGGTGAGGAAGCTAGAGATGATCTGTATCAGATGTTGCCTACGAGCTTAAGACAAACTTTGAAGGCTAATCTGAAGTGTTATGTGAAAGACCTGGCAATCTATGATGCTCCTCTGGCCCATGATTGGAAAGAGAAGCTTGATGAGATATTGAGGTGGCTTAGCCCATTGGCACATAACATGATCAGATGGCAAAGTGAGCGCAATTTTGAACAGCAACAAATCGTGAGGCGCACAAATGTTCTCCTGCTCCAGACCTTGTATTTTGCTGATAGGGCAAAAACAGAGGCCGCTATTTGTGACCTTCTGGTTGGGTTGAATTATATATGTCGTTATGAGCACCAGCAAAATGCTTTATTGGATTGTGCAAGCAGTTTCGATTTTGATGACTGCATGGAGTGGCAACTGCAGTATTCAACTTCTTATCATTCTTGATTACATCTGAGAATTGAAAACATGCTGCTGGTGGGATTTTTCTCAACTTCCAGCACTTGTATGATAAGACAGATAATAGCTCAACAACATGTAAATACTGACGCTTCAGATAAGGAAGATGTCTATTATTGTAAAATGTGCTTCATCATTGTATCTCGTTGCAAGGTATTGAAAATTTGGATTTTTGAAGTATATCATGAAATGAAAAATCTGCTCTTTTGATTGACATATTTTTTGGCAAGGTGTGTCTATATTGCCTGTGTTGCTGTGAATTAGTAGTACTTCATCAATTCTTTTATGCAATTTGTTAAATGTCTTATGATGTCAAGAAGAAAGGTAATTGATCATACAATACTTGGTGTCAACTTATTTCTTTCAGCTACTGATGGTTGTAAGAACTGCATTCCCATTTCAATGAAATATACAAATGTCACTACCACCCTTTTTATTGGAATGCACAATTTACTCCTCGTTTCCTATTTATTTCCTGTACTTTATGATCTAGTTAGTTACACTCAATGTGTTGGATTATGCTATCCGCTGAATTTTGAAGAAAACATAATCTGAAATGTATGGAAACACTGTAAGTCAGATATTATTCTCATCTCGTCTATCAAATCCATTGTGCCTGTTACTGAGATGAAGAATTGCATAGTTGGGCATTATTTCTGGTATGGAATTTGGGGTGCCTATGTCAATCCACTGTGTTATTCGGGGAAAGCATTCATAAATAATAGCACTATTCCCATAGCTCTTCTTGAAGGATACAACTTAGTCTCTTGTAGAGAAAATATAAAACCAATTTAATGTTTCATAACCATTTGTTAAGTGATTTTAAGAAGTCCTTGCATTTTATATCACCTTTGATATACCTGTTTTTTTATGTTTACTCTTTTTGATGACTCTATTGTTGTTATTCTTAATGATGACTATGCACTTTCCTGTGCTCTTGCAATTTGTGTTGCATGCTGCTTGTGCTGCCATAGTGTCTCTGCAGTAGTGCTCTACTTATGTAGTAGCAGCTTCTAGTTTGCTTATGACTTAGTAGCAAGCTGATGCCGCTTCGTGAGATCATATTTATGTCAACTTTGCATCAAAAAATTATAATGCTCTAAGAAGTTTTGGCTTACTAAAGGAAGTCCTTTCTTTCGTCTTCTGTAATCATGCTCTCAATGTTGCATAATAGTGACTTGTCTAAATGATCTAATTTTCTGCTCAAATTTATGGTTTATGATTTGTTGACAGTAGGGAATCCTTTTGAACTTAGAACAAACAACATTGTTGGCTTGTTAACATTCTCCTTCACAGCCTTACAACAGATGCATCAGAGAATACAAGAAAAAGATATTTTGTCCATCAGCAGATTTGGAATATGAAAGACAAGAAGAATCAGAAGATAACAAGTTTGGTAATGCGTAAAAGGTAAGTTCATGATGGATTTGTTATTTTAAGTAAAAAAAATATTATGGTAATTCTGTGAATGTTAATCTGAGCAGATAGGGAAGTGGATTGCAATGGTTGCACTTATGATTTCAGTAATTCTGTTTCCTTTTAAGATATTGTGGTCTGATAAATAATTGACAAGTAGCTGGGTGTGTACGTAGTAGTTTACATCAATCATTCTAATATATATTTTTTCCTCCATGTATGCTACTTTAAAAAAATTAACGTGAATGGCGGTGGTTGTTTTGTTAGCTAAATGTAGTCTTATTCCAAGTGGTGGGCATGTGATAACTTATTTAACTCCTGTAACATTCATCGATATTTCATCCAGAACATTCTCTTTGTTTTCAGTTATAAATGTTATTCCAATTCCTCTACCCCAACCTGAGAAGGCCCACACAATTGAATCAAAACTTTGTTAGATTTGAGGCTGTATATTAGACTCATCAAATTAAACACGAGGGTAGTTTTAATGCTCTCATGCCTAGGAAAAATATAGGAATTTCTTGCACTCAGCACTTCTGAAACTCATGTGGGCAATCAGAGAGAGAGACAGGACTCTTTGATTTTTCACGAGTCTCTAGTTGTTTCACCCGTAGATCACTCTCAAGAGTATCTGAGATGACACATTGATTGTTCTGATACATATATCTGTGTGACTTACATTTGCTATTCTAAGGCTTTGAGCTTCACTGTTACTATTAAGACTGCAAGCAAAATGCTTTAATGGCTCATTGAATTTTTGAAGTCTTTTAACTTGATAGTCTCGGCTGTTTGGTATTGCCTAACAAAGAGGGAACCTCCTTGACAATGTCAAATGCCTTTCTCCTTGACAGACAGACTATGGATTTGCTGATGCTTGTGAAGGCAACTACATAACGCCCAATTTAAAGTTTCCAGGCAGACATTTCTCCGGTTCCATCCCTTCTGCTTTGGTGCTTAACAAGGTCTCTGAAAGCAACCATGTTTAGCCAAGAATATGTCGACAAAGAGTGCATTCAGTAACAGTTTGCTGTTCGTACCTGGAACTGATCAGCTAGATCCTTTGAGGGCCTTGTCATCAAGAAAATCAGCAGCAGTACCATACTCTTTGGTGTTCCACGACGGTGAGCAACCACGAATCTGTTAACATTGATCAAACGCAAGAAAAGAAAGAGAGAAATCAAGAATATTATTCATAAAGGAAGTCTGTAATACACAACTTAATGTAGAAATACACAAAGTAAGTCTTATATAGTAGGGCAACACAACATAAAAAAAGTGCCTAAACTATCCTTGGTATTAATACTCTAATACCTTCTCTCAAACTCATGATGTGGTAGAGAACATCAAGAGTTTGTCAAGAAGAAATCTAAAATGTGCTATGGTGTGAGACTTCGTAAAAAAATCTGTTATCTGTATTGTGGAAGGAAGAAAGAAGAAAGGGGAGAGTGATGGTGTCTTGTTGTAGATGATGACGCACAAAGTGATAATCAATCTCAATATGCTTTGTACGCTTATAGAAGACCTAGTTATGAACAATCTGAATAGTACTGGTGTTGTCACAGAACATAGGAGTAGGAGAAAATATCAAAATGTCAAGATCAGCAAGGAGTCATCGTAACCAGACTATCTCAGTTGTAGTAGATGTCATAGCACGATACTCAGCTTTAGCAGAGGAACGAGAAACAACCGTTTATTTCTTGTTTTTTTAGGAAATAAGAAAATCTCCAAGAAATAGGCAGAAACCAGTGGTGGATTTACATTCTATAGAGTTACCAGCTCAGTCAGCATTAGAGTAAATCTTGAGTTTTATAGAAGAAAAGTGAGAAAATAGTAAACTCTGATGTAGAGTACTACGGAGATACCGAAGAATGCAAAGAATAGTAGCCCAGTAAATGGTGGTGGGTGAGGCAACAAATTGACTCACAATGTGAACAACATAAGAGATATGTGGACGAGTGATTGTAAGATATACTAAACACCTAACAATAGTTCGATAGAGGGTTGGGTCAGACAAAGGAATGTCGTCAGACGAAGAATAACAAACATTGAGCTCTAAATGTGTGTCAACTGTTCAATTATCTGATAAAATGCTCGTTCAATAACATCTAAAGTATACTTGGATTGAGAGAGAAGATATCCTTTATGAGAGGAAGTAATCTCAATACCCAAGAAATATCTAAGTTATTTTAAATCTTTCATCTCAAAATGTTCCTGCAATTGGGTTTTCAATAAGCATATGTCAGCAGCGTCATCACTCGTAATAATCATATCATCAACATATAGTAAGAGAATAATAAAACATGAGGAAGTAGATTGTAAAACGAGAGCAGAATCACGGTCACTGGCGCAAAAATTCAAGTTACAAATAACCAAAGAAAATTTGGCAAATCATGCCTTGGGAGCTTGTTTAAGACCATATAAAACACGATAAAGTTAACATACTTGACTAGAACTATAAGATAATCTAGGGGAGGTGTCATAAAAATCTCTTCAGTCAAATCTCTATGTAGAAATGTATTTTTCACATCTATTTGAGGCAAATTTCATTGTTGAATTGTTGCAACTGCAATCACAGTACGAACAATAGTCATCTTGGCAATAGGAGCAAAAGTTTTATCATAATCTAGACCATATTCCTGAGCAAACCCCTTTCGCTACTAATTCAGCTTTATATCGTTCTACAGAACCATTCGACTTGATTTTTATCTTATAAACTCATTTACAACCAATAATGCGTTTATCAGGCGATAAAGACACTAGCTCCCAGGCTCTGGTCTTATGTAAGACAGACAACTCTTCTTCCATAGTTTGTTTTCAAAGTGGATCAAGTAAAGTCTCCTTGTAGGAGGAGAGTTTAGATAGAGAATAAATAGAAGGAAATAACAAAAGTCAAAGAAAATAACAAGTATTACTTTAACCAAACCTGTCTGGACATTTGCGAGAGCTCTGAGAATAGCGTGGGGTATGGTCCACAGTGTCTGAACTTGATTGGGCGGCTGGAGGAGAAAGGGGAGACACTGTATCCGGAGAGGAGATAACTGGAGTCTTGTGAACATATGTATGCACAATAAGGGGACGAGTAATAGTCAACTCAGAAGACGAAGGATCTGACACAGGTATATCACCAACATATGTGTCATGAGGAACATTAGTAGGAAAGAGATCAATGTATAGCAGGTCAGACTTATTCAATGAGGAAGAACTAGATGGAATTGAAAAGAATGGAATATGCTCTATAAAAATAACATGACGAGAGACATAAAATTTGTGGGTGATGGGATCATAGCAACAATACCCTTTTTGACTCTCACTATAACCAAGAAATACATATAAAGCTGAACGAGCAGAAAATTTGGTATAAAAAACACTAGGGAGCAAAACAAAATAGGTACAACCAAACACACGTAAAGAAAAATAGTTAGGCGGCTTACCACATAACTTTTCAAATGGCGAGACTCCAGAGGTGAGTATAGTAGGAATGATGTTAATCAAATGAACTACTGTCAAAATTGCTTCCCCCTAAAATAAGCTGAGAACATGTGCTAATAAAAGAAAGGAATGTGCTGTCTCTA